TCTTCTCTTTTTCTTTTGGTTGGGGGCAGAAAATAATGTAATGATATTTGTGTAGCTATTGTCTAAGACTGGACAGGTTCTAGTGCTTCATAATTTTGCTACAGGGCATTGCTGAGAGTGCTTTCTGTTGGCTTCTCATCTTGTGTATGTGCAAGTGCAATGCTGACTGCATTTGTTTTCGACTGCCTTTTCAAGGATGCTTACAATCAGCCTTGGAAGATGCTATTTTCTCTTTAAAGTAAAAGGCATATTTGGTTATAGCCTTCAGATATGTACTATCTCCCTCAGGATCAATGAGCAAGCTTTCCCACTCTAACTCCATCAGTGAGCTCCAGGTTCAGTGGGAGACCCTGTCTTAAAAGTTAAGGTAGAGGTAGTCAAGATGGCTGACTGGGAAAGAACATGTTGGGAAAACCATTCTTTGGCCCCCGGAATCCATGTAAAGGTAGAAGGAGGGAACCAACTCAACAAAGTTGTTCTGCACCCTTCACAACTATGCTGTGGCATCCACACAGGAACACGAATGGCTGTGTCAATTCTTTTTTTGGGGGGGGTTGAGACAGGGTTTCTCTGTGGCTTTGGAGGCTGTCCTAGAACTAGCTCTTGTAGACCAGGCTGGTCTTGAACTCACAGAGATCTGCCTGCCTCTGCCTCCTGAGGATTAAAGGCATGAACCATCACTACCCAGTGGCTGTTCCAATTCTTTCCCTTCAAGTGCTGTGCAGAAACCAGAGACCAGCTTTCAATAATGGCAAACACAATTGATGACTCTGCCTCTTACAGAAGAAAACCATAAACACAAGATCCTCAGAGGCAGGGCAAATTAGAACCACAAAATTCTGGGGTTTCACAGTCTTCTAACAAGTACCATGGCAACTACTTTCCAGTGCTGGATGGGAATTCTTTTCTTCCAAGTGGCCATACCTCTGGTTGGAGGTGTCTTGTTTCTCCTGCTGTGTCCTTTGCTCATGTGACTGGTTTGCATTTTGGCTTGCTGTGAGCATCTCCTGGCTTGGTAGACTACCCAGCTCTCCAGAGCCAGCCAGTCCCTACAGAGGACCGGGAGGCCTCCTGAACTGGCCATTAATGGCTGGCTCTCACCTCCAACTGTAACATGCCAGCCAGCTAAGGGTTACTTCCTTGGAAACTTTGCCAGCTTTCTACTCACCCAGTGTAGGATCTTTGTATGTTTATCCCTGTCTGGGAGGATCAGTTCAGAGTTTGCTGTGGGCCAGAGGAGTGTCTTTGCTTCTATTCTTCCATCAGCAAGAGTCTCAGCCATAATGGTGCTTTCTCCTCCTCCTCCCTGTGCTTATCTGCCCTATTTCCCAGCATGTCTATGAAAGATTACTTTTGTGGAAGGAACAGACACCCTAAGCCCCAACCCTGCTCCAGATTAAGAATGCCCAGGAGCAATCTTAAATGTCCAAGGTCAAGACAGAGATTGGGGAACTGGAAGTGCCATTGGGGTTTGGGAACTATGTTGTCCTCTCAAGTTACAAGGCCCAGATGGTCTCTTTTGAGTCTTTCTTTCCAGCTCCTTTTGCTCTGTTGAATTCTGGTCCTTGAAATGGACCAACCTGACTGTCCCAGCTTTGACCCCGTATAATGTTCCAATTCAACCATTTTCATCTTCTGATCTGTCATCCGTATGATGGTTCAGATACTGGGAGAAACTGTTAACAACTCGTCAGTCAGTTGATAAGCGTATTTGGGACAGATGTTTTCAGCTTCGGCTTCAGTCACCTTTAGCTAGAGGGCAGGTTTGAGAAATTTCTTTGGGAAGGCAGCTGATCTGGACAGGTTAGATGGCCAGGAATTAGCTAGAACTCTCCTCTGGCTCTTCACACACATGTACAGCCTGATAGTTTATAAGCATGTTCACATACAGTACTTGTTTGCTTACCTGCTTTGCTCTTTGTGTTCATTCAACACTTGTGGGCATGCCCTCCCTCCCTACATCAGGTACCAGAAAAAGGAACATTCTACTGGGTCATATAGGAGTGTTTTGCCTGGAACACATTTCTGTTGGGAGTAGGAGTGTGGTGTGACCAGCCAGTGAAAAGGTGACGTGCGTACAGCCAGAGAGCAAGCTCAGGCTCTGTGACAGATGAGGAGGACTTGGCATAGGCTTGTGGGAGAAGAGAACAAGCAAGACACTTTGCTGTTTTAGTTATGTTTACACGCCACAGAAACCAGGAGGTAAGTAAAGAGACATCAGTATGACTGATGATAAAAGAGGGGTTAGGTAAATTGCTTGTTACCAACAGCATTGGAACCAGGACCACCAGGTCTCCACCCCCCCTCCCTGTTCCAGAACTCACTTATCTTCCTTTGTCCTGGGTTTACTCTAGGCTGAGATAATCGCATTAGTGGGGTGCCTGGAAATGTGCCATGGTCGTCTCAATGCTTGGGAGGATCCTAAAGCTAGGGTACTAGGGAAGTATGGGAGAAAGGAGGAAGTGGGGGCTATTATTATTGTCTGAAGAGGAGAATGGGGTGTAGAATTCTGATCTCTGTGACAGGGGATCCTAGAGTCCGTGACAGCATTGGTAGCTGGGCATAGTGTATAAGCCTGCAATCTCTGGCTGGGGAGGCTGAGGCAGGAGAATTGAGTGAGCCTAGAAGTTCAGACCAGCCTGGACAACATAAGGAAATACTATCTTCAAACAAAATAAGGGAAGGAGTGGTGGAGATGGGATACACAAGGGAAGAGAGAAGCCAAAGGCTCTTCCCATGCTTCACACTTGCTTCTCAGTGGGGATTTGCAGAACTGAAGATCCCTGTGTAGGCTAGGGAAAACTACATGGCCCTCAGTGAGTGGCTGTGCCCCAGAAGGTGACATGGAGAGCTTAGGGAGGGCCTTAGAGGAAAGTCAAGGTGAGGGGACATTTTCACTGTCCTATGCCTTCATTTATTATTTACTGTCCTCTCAGCCAGCATCCCCTGAGTCATGTCCCTCCATTCTGTTGCCAAATAGAAGTGAAGGGCATGCTCTGTGGACTCATAGGCAGTTCTTAGGGCAGCTTCATACCATCCCACATCACTAGGAACACGAAGTCTCTCTGAGACCCAGCTGTCATGTCCTTTGCTCTTCCAGCATTGTTCTTGACTCGGGAGATCATCTGGGTCACTTTCCATTATGAAAGCAGTGTGATAGACTTGTAGAAAATTCTGCTTCAGCAGAACACCATGGGCTGATTCTGAGCCTTGGTGCTGGGGACACCATAGGTAGGAAGCAAAAAGCATGTGCTCAATCCTCTAAAAGGAGCCACCAGCTCCTCGGCATTCACCCCTGGCTACAGCAGAGCTCTCTCTCTCTCTCTCTCTCTCTCTCTCTGTGCGTGTCTAAAGAATGTGGAAACCAGGGCTGGAGAGACGGCTTAGCCATTAAAGGCTAGGCTCACAACAAAAAATATAATGATGTGGAAACCTGAATTAGAAAAATTCATCACAAAATCAGCACATGACATAATTAAAAACAGGCTGGAACAGACAAAGTGGAATTTTGTTTTGAGGCAAGTTGGTAACCTGAATTACCCATTTTCTAAAAAGTATCTGTTCCAGGCACCTCTTCCTGAAAAAACTCACAGCTCTAGTCTGTGACAGCATCAGGACCAAACCAACTGAGGAATGCCCTACCAAATACTGGACCGGTGCTCTTTAAAACCAGAAGACTGTGGCCAACAGGGAAAGTCAGACAGTGTCACAGACTGGCAGGGACTAATGAGAAGCTGTGACTTAAAGAGTATGAGGATCTGGGGGCATTCACAGGAAACCTGAGGAGTCTCAGTAGCATCTGTGTCAACATTTGCTTTTCCATTCTGATAAAAGAAGTGAAGATTGTGAACATCAGCAGAATGGAGGAGTACAAATTTCTCTGAACTGCATCAGCAACCTTCCTGCAAATCTCAAATTATTCTGAAAGAAAAAGCTCATTAAAGAGAAAAAGTCCCTTCCAAGCCTGGGATAACCTTTGGTTGTTAGGCTTTCAAAAGAAAGATAGGTTTCCAGCATCCAAACAAACACTGTCTTGCTGGTGCCTTTATTCTGACCTGTGGGACATCCATCACAGTGATGAACTGTATTGTTATTTCCTTTGGAGCAGACGGTGCCAAAATCTCCTGAAATGGGACCAGAAACATATGGCTGTTCATACAGAATGCTGCTGTCTTCTTCCTATTAGTGAGAGGTTTGGTGCTTTCTCTGCACTCCAGCACACCCCACAGTGACTGCAATGAATTCAAAATTCACAGTCAGAGGGCTGGAGAGATGGCTCAGTTGGAAAAGCATTTGCCTTACAAAGTTGAAGACTTGAATTCAGATGTTTAGAATCCAGGTACCTGTGATCCTAGTGTTGTGACATAGGAAGCTGAGGCAGGCGGATCCCTGGGAGCATGAGAGCCAGCTAGCCTGATCCATGTGGAGTTCCAGGCCAGTGAAGCACCTGAGGACTAACAGAGAGGTTGGCATGGCCATGCACACCCCCCAACCCCCGTGGATATCACCCACTCCTCCCACAGCACACATCACATGAGCTTAGGTACAGTCTGAAGACTGGCATTTTGCTTAAGTTTATGTGGTTTGACCTGCTAAGTTGTGACTTTGGGTTTTTTGTGACAGGACTCAAAAAGAGCCCCCCCCCCTCCTCTCTGTAAAAACATTCCCAGAGTCAGGAAAATTGATGTTCCCTCCAACTCCACAGGAATGCTATCACTCCAAAGAATTCCCAGGCAATTATACCCCCTTGCAATGAAATAGCTTCTCCTTTTGCTGCCCAATCAAGCAACCACAAATCAAAGATCGCTTGGCTGTGTTCCACTAATAGCACAGAAAGCCATTAGCTGGAGTCATCTGAAAAGGGAAGTGGCTGCGATATCTGTGGTCTCACAAGAAAAGCTTCTGTAGTGTCAGATTGCGGTTGCCAAGAGGCTCGGTGGAGTCAAGCATTGCATTTCTCATAGCGAGAGGTTATTTATTACCCAGGGAGAGAACAGACTTTCCTTTGCTCCTTTGCATACGATCAAGAGTCCTTTCAGTAGAATTAAGCCTAAAAGGAGAAGCAATGCCTGGTTTCCAGCAGGAGGAAGAGGAGGTGGAGCCCCCCGCGGTGGTGTGCGGACTCTGCAAGGTTCTCCTGTCCTCAGTCTTAATTCACTAGGGGTTAAGACTCAGTTTCCAAGACAGCCTCTGCTCAGCTGAGACCTTGTACCAATCCTCATCATTAACTTAACAGAAACACCCATTTTGCTGGGGGACGGAGAACTACTTCTTCCTAGTCCCTTTCTTTGTGATTATGAAGGGGCTACAAACTCTGTAACTCTAAGGCTTTGCCGGTAGGTGCGCGTTGTACCCATTCCCTTTGGTGGTTGGTTCAGGATTGGGACATGGGACAGAATCCTGGCTAATCGGATGCCTTCCTCGATTTGTTCTAAGAATCCCGGTGATGAAGGTATCTTATGCGGGAGTGGAGGTCGGGTGGTGGGGGGAATATTCACTAGAAAAAAAAAACAAACTCATCTGAACTAAAGAAAATGAAAGAGACAGAGAAAGGAGAGTCCTTGTGGCATTGAGATGCAATTTTAGGGTGTCTCTCTCTCTCTCTCTGTGTGTGTGTGTGTGTGTGTGTGTGTGTTTTCGAATGTAGCAGTGTCTAACCAGTGAACACAGTGTGTGTGCGCGCGCGTGTGGTGTGTGTGTGTGTGTGTGTGTGTGTGTGTGTGTTTTCACATGTAGCAGTGTCTAACCAGTGAACTTGTAATGGTGACCACACCCCTTTGGGCATGGCTTCAGGCAGAAAGAAGGGACCTTTGAGAGAGCGCACTCTTTCTGGTGGGCCCCCCAATCTCCTAGGAAGGGCAGAGAAATGCTCTTGCGGTTCTTTGTGTTTTTCTGTGTGTTCCCCAGTAAACACCCATTCGTCGTTTATCTTGGGCCTAGTGAAATCTTTACACCTATGTTTTCATGTGCGCGTGCACACGTGTGCACACCACTCCAGTCCAGGCATGTGTCAGGCCCGGGAGGCATTGTTCCTGAGTTCCAGTGGGGTTGGAGAGGCAAACATAGAGTCACCTGGGCTACTAGATTCGAGGAACTGTCCACATGCTCCAGGATGGGCTACAGAACAGTGAGGGGGGCCTTGAGAATAGTTCTTTTAAAAGCAATGAGAGCGTCGGAGAGTTAGACTGAATTCAGAGCTCTGGAGAAAAAGCTTCAGAAGCAATTGAAAACCCACGGTCCGGCCCACAGAAGCCAGCGGGAAGGAAGAATTTCACAGTAGGAAAGGGGCTGCATGAAAGGGAGATGCTAGCAGGCTCCAGGGTGAGGGGTCGCTCCTGCAACTGCCTGTAGGGAGGAAACAAGAAGTGGGGGTCACTGCCCTTGACTTTTGAAAAACCCACTACTTGTGATCATCTGGAATGTGAACCCTGGCTGCTGGAGAAGGTGGGTGGGCCGTCCACAGATCATGTGTGGACACCTTGGTCAGCTGTGGTTTGTGCTAAGGACATGGTCATTGTGATTCAAACAGGAATATTTTCCAGGCAATATGAAGAGGTCTCAGAAGTGTCATTCCAAGAAAATGTCCTTCAGGTGCTTTAGTATGGGCGGAGGGAAGATGGAGTGGAGCTGGGAACATGGTATCCTTTCAAGACCGCATGCTATGCTGTGCTGCGGGAAGGCCCTGGGCAACAGAGGAAGGTAAAATGATCTCTCTGTGATTCGAGAAGAGTATACTTTCTTCTCCTTCCCTTCAGAAGTGAAAATAAATTAGGTGTGTGTGGGGGGGAGGGCTGAGCAGAATTCAAAATCTTGATGAAAAAGATTGAGGCCACAGAGCAATGGGAATTCCTGGTAGGATGCATATTCATCCTGCCACTTGGGCAGATACTTTGATAATACATTTACCCAGTTGTTGAATCACCATGGCTACAAACAGGTGACAGGACAATTTAAGGGAAGAAGAGCTTATTCCCATGGTTCAGAGGGCTGGTCATGGCCTGCTCTGTTGTTTATGAGCCAATGGTGTGGTAGCATGTCATGGTGGCGAGAGCATGCAGCAGAGCTCTCACCTCATGGTGCATAGGAAGAGGCAGACAGAGAGAGAGAGAGAGAGAGAGAGAGAGAGAGAGAGAGAGAGAGAGAGAGAGAGAGAGAGAAAGAGAAACATATATATAGATAGACACAGACAGACCGACTGACAAATTTTGGAAAGAAAATCCAGGAGACCCTGTGCTTGAGCGGGGGACTGAAGCACTAGTTGGTATCTACTAGTCAAAGCATCTTGTCTGATGGACTCCAGTCTCAGAACAGGTACCTGGGACTAGAGAGACAGCTCACTGGGTAACAGCCTTGCTGTTCTAGCAAAGGACCCTCGTTTGATTCCCAACACCCACCTAACCATTATAACTCCAGTTCCAGGGAATTGGAGACCCATTTCTGGCACTAAGCACACATGTGGTGCACAGACATATACCCATACATATAAATAAATAAATCTTTTAAAAAAGACAGTGCTACCTCATTCTATTCCTCCATCAAAGACTACAGCCTCAGAGCCCCACCTTTCTGAGGACATAGAGATATTTATGTGTTTCTCAGATGAGCCCTCTGAACCATGGGACTAAGTCCTTCTTCCCTTAAATTTTTGGCATCTCTAACTTCAGTTAAACTAGGCTATTAGAGTCACCAGTTACCACACAGTTAGTTACTTGGAATGCTTCAGATTGCTAGATTCTTATGCGTGCCTTCATTACCGCCACCAGCAAAAGCTCCCTGGCCGCTTCACCCTCAGGATGCCAGCAAGGCTCTGAGATCTGCTAGTCCCTCAGCATCCTCCTGCCTTCCAACCTCTCTCTCTCTCTCTCTCTCTCTCTCTCTCTCTCTCTCTCCTCTCTCTCAGGATTCAAGGGTCTCTCTTCTCATCTCTATCTGCCTGACAGTTCTCGGGGACACACTTAGTTTTCCTTAGACAATGACAAAAGCACTTCCCAATGGGAAGGTCCTGTGACTCACACTGGCTGTCCATTCTGCTAAGATCTACTTGGTAATGGCCTTCCTCACCCAGTGTGGTGGTGGTCCTGAGAGGACAAGGTTCACTGAGGAGGCCCCAACCGTGAGAATGCTCCCCTCCTGGCTTCTTACGTGTTGTTGATTCAGTGATGTAAAAATCTTTCTTTGCAAGGGTGAGAGACACCGGCTGTAGCACCTTGTCTGATCTGAAGCCAGCTCCAAGCCCCATAATTTGTCTAAACGCATCCCTGTGGCAGTTTGCCAGTGCTTACACCCATGTAGGCAGGAGTCTGCAGCACACTGTGATCCACCTTCGGAAGTCAATTAAGCCCTTGGGTGAGAATTTCTCACAGTGGCTTTCTATCAGAGCTCTACTGTTCCCCAAAGGGAACTATTGTGAGAATTTAGATTGTTTTCACTTTCACAATGATTGGCTGACATGCTGGGTGTCATGGCCTTTCTGGGGGTGGATAGTTGTTAGCTAATCTGCCTCGTGCAGTACCTGTTGTTCATACATGTTGGATGCCCTGTGCTCTTTTTTCCCCTTTGTTAATTTTTTAATGACTAAATTTTGATCTTTGATATTTTAATACATGTATTTAATACTTCTGATTACACCCTTTGACCTTCTTTTATCTCTCTCCCACCTTCAACAGGCCCTGAATTCTTCCTAAAGTCTTTCTGCAGGGCTATGTGGAGGCAAAACACTTTGGTAATTGTTGGAGTCTAAATGCGAACTCCTAAACACAAGTGACTTTGTATACAGTGGTAAAATAAATTGTTTTGAAGCACACAAGCACCTTGAAAGTCAATGGACTGTTTTATTTTCCTGCAACTCGTGTGTGTGTGTGTGTGTGTGTGTGTGTGTGTGTGTGTGGGCGCTGCGTGCGCGCGCGTGTGCGCGTGCGCGTGTGTTCACGCACATGTGTAGGTCAGACATTGATGTCAGATATCTCCCTCAGTAGCTCTGACCTTTATGTTTGACACTAGGGCTCTCTCTGCACCTTGACCTTGCTGATTCAGCTAGACTGGCATCTTCCATCTCCAACCCCAGTGCTATTATTACAAGTACAGGCCATTGCATGCAGCATTTTGTATAATATGGGTCCTGGAGGGTTGAACTCAAGTCCCCATGACTGCACGGCAAACACTTTAACCACTGAGTCAGCTCCCCGGTCCTACCCTAGCTTTTTCTTCATTTGGTTTAGGAGCAAATTGAGAAGTATACATTTTTGCTTTTCATTTAAAAATTTTCTCCCTCAGAACAGATCATGAAGAAAAGTCTGTATAATAGAAATATTTATTAGGCAACATACTTTGAGTATGTGTTTAAGGCAAGACAAATGATTAGTTCAGATACCTCAAACCTTAACATGTTGGTCATTGACACCTTAATTTCTCAAACGGGAGCTACAACTTGGTTCCATATTCTTTTAAAATTGTTTAGATGCCTTTGTTATGGTTATGATGTCAATAAAAATATTTAAACCTGTACTTTCTGCATCACTCAGGACACTGTCCTTGGATGACAACAGACATATAGTTCCTGTGTTCAAATATTTGTTTATGATCATGAAGGCAGTGATACTACTCAGCAGATGGTCATTGGCTAATAAAATAATAGAGGTTAACTCAATCTTCATGTATTTGGAAAATTAATTTATCTGCAATAGCCCCTGTGTTAAAAGCAAACAAACAAACAAAAACATAGAGGAATTTGGCACTGCGGCATACCTCTGTAGGCCCAGTACTTGGGAGGTAGAAGTGAGAGGATCAGGAGTTCAAGGTTATCTTCAGCTACTTCATGAGTTCAAGGGCAGCCTGGATTACACTGAGATTCTGTATCAAAAGAGCCAAAAGTAAATATATAGATAAGTAAATAAAAAAAGATGGAGGAAACAGACCTTATTTATTTATTTTTTTGTTTTTTACCCCCCTAATCGTCGCATCCTACAAGGAAGAAGAAAGATACTGGATGTTTTGTGGGTACCTGTTGTTTTATCTTTGGCACAGGAGCAATGCCTTAATCTATAATTTTTAAGTTTATTTTAAGTATGTAGTGCTACATCTGCATGTACGCCTGTGTGATGGCATCAGATCCCATTACAGATGGTTGTGAGCCACCATTTGATTGCTGAATTAAACTCAGCATCTCTGGAAGAGCAACCAGTGCTCTTAACCATTGAGCCAGCTCTCAAGCCCAAAATCTAATGCTTTTTGAGCCAGCAAGTGCTCCACAGTTACCAGCCTGCTTCATTGGCAGGAGCCCAGCCACTTAGGCCACAGCCTTGGGGGAATTCTGTTCCCGTAAGCACTGGCCATGTTGCTGCCACTAAAGGTAACTTTAACTAAATCTCTATTGCTCTATTTATAAATAAGACTCAAGATCCAAAGGCTGGAGTGAAAACCTGCTAGCTCAGAGAGTGTGAGTAGCAACTGGCTATCATCTCCTTGCTGGCACTCTGAAAAAGCCCATCCTTCCACTCTATCAAAACAAAACAAAACAAAACAAACAAAAAGGCTGAACCACTCCAAATCTCTCCCTACTACTTCCTGTGCATCACTCTTCTCTTCCTGATGCCCTCTGATGTTCTATGATGACTTTCTGTCTACTAGTTGCTAACTCAACCTCCTGATGCCAGGTTAATTTTGTTTAATCTATGCATGTGTAAACTCAGAGTTCACAGTGTGATCCAATATTCCCCAACAGGTACTATCATCCAGACTTTGCTCACCTTGGGCAAGCCAATCTCAGAAAATACAAGTGACACATTTAGCCCTGGGGGAAGACAGCTCCTGGGCTAAGAATCCAGGACTTCTTCCAGATAGGATTTGCTCAGGGAGGCAGTCACACGTCCCCACCACTGCTGTCCTAGCTCATTATCTCAGTGACAGGGAAGGTCTAGAAATACCAAGAGTGAAAGAACAATGATATCTGCAAGGGCAGTCTGACCATTGGAATCAGCAGACATTTGGGAAACCTCAGGCTCAGGATGCAATTCATGAAATCACATGGAAACTGGGATGAGAGACTTAGCATCCTGATGAGAGCCCTGCAAACCTCCTATACAGATGTAATGGAAGAGAAACTGCATGCTCTGTTCATTCTACAGCTGAATCCCAGATCCTGGCTGCTGCTCTGCTGGGAGGCGACAAAGACACAGTCATTGGGATTAACTCACACACCTATGAACACCTGATTTTTGACAAACAATCCAAATATATACTCTAAAGAAAGAAATTAAAGAAGATACCAAATATATACGCTGGAACAAAGAGAACATCTTCAACAAATGGTGCTGGCATAACTGGATGCAAACATGTAGAAGACTACAGATAGACCCACGCCTTTCACCCTGCACAAAACTTAAGTCAAAATGGATCAAAAACCTCAACATAAGCTCAGCCACACTGAACCTACTAGAAGATAAAGTGGGAAATACCCTTGAGTTAATCGGTACAGGAGACCGCTTCCTGAA